TCAATAAATAAGTTAGACCACGCAAATATATAAAGTTAAAAACTAATAAACACAAGTTACTCGAAGGTAATTTTTGCAAAGTTTTGCTTTCAATACAAAAACTAACCTCAATTCTGATTAAAAATTAGAAAAAAAGTTTATTTTGACAATTATTTACAATGAAACTGTGAGAGTGAGCAAAATATACGATGAACAAAGCATTTTCAATAATGCCACAAAGTTAATCACAAAGCTAAGTTTGATAAAACAACTTTGTTGATTACAAAATTACAGATATGTATCAAATTATTAACATAGGCAAACAAAGTTTGTACTTCTATTTGGTCAACATTATCGGTTTATCAAATTATCTTCAGAATAATAATTTGTTTCAAACAAGATTTTAGTGTAAATGACGTTATTTTAATCTAACTGATCAAACATTTTGAATTTGATCTAAATTAATTTGATAGAAGAAGCAAACTAATCAGTTACTGATACTTTACTCATTACTTTGTTTTGAGCTATAAAATCTGACTTTGATTCATATAATTTTGATGTACTGATTGATCAATTAGTGAATTTGAAGATCTGACCGAATCAATTGCATCAGAAGGCTCAAATTTATCAGCTATAGGTGATATGGGAAGTCTATGCGCAACTTGCGGTAGAGGATATCGTTTTTCTAGCAATGACATTGCTTCAGTTCGGATGGCATTTGCATAATCACTCTCATTAGACTGATTGTCGCAAAAATCCTAAATCAATTACTGTTCTGAGATTTTGAGCAGTTCAAAAAAATAGTAATAACAATAATATGCCTTATTCAATATACTATACTAACATTATATTTTTTATGAAGAAATGCAAGCTTCAGTAAATTTAAGACTAAGTAACAATTTACTAATAATAATAAGTGATAAAAATAATGCATGATAATAGTGATAAAATAATATTAATAGTAATAATAATAATATTAATAATAATATCAATAATAACAATAATAACAATAATAATAATGATATATTATATATATTTTATGGTATTTTACATATTATGTATAAATAAAAGTAATAAGATACTTTACCACTATATACATGAAGTTCATTATGTTTCTCAATCAATATACAAAATGATAAAAAATTATATCCTTTGCGTTTCAAATGTAAGTAAACAAATAATGGAACTACCGTGTCAATTACAGGTCTACGAGATCCTGCTGCGGCTTCTTGGAGTGTTTTTCTTGACAAAACCTGTCCTTCGGTTGCTTTCTTCATGCAGCCATAACTACCAACTGAGCATGTTTCAGAACTCCCACTTGGGAGTTGATCATTAATCCACCCCGCTGTTCCCGAGGATTGCAATGGTAATCTATCTTGGATGCAGAATGGTTCTGAGGATTGTGGCTGATAAGGTGTGCAAATATTGAAGTTGATTCCATTTTCTGGAATGTTGAAAAAGTATATGCAAAATAACAACAGAAGTTTATATATGCAAAATAACAGCAGAAGATTTTAAAGCAGATTACTAACAACTATATTTAATTGAACAATATGTTTTTGCTGATTTTATTATTTCAACTTCTTACAAAATTTTGCATTATGAAGATATTTTCCAGCAATAACCTTTAGTTGGTAACGGATCACAACTGCTAGCTGCAGCATGTTCAGAATATGAATTTAACATAGTATTCATGGTACTCCTAGAATAAGCATTTTGAGATATTGTTTCATTTGCCGATATAGGATTATCTGATGATTCTGAATCTCGACAAGTAGTAAATGATTGTGATTGAGATAATCGATGGATAATCACTGGTGAAGGCATCCTTTGCATGATTGGATTCTAAAAATAAACACTGCATAGAACTTTTGAATTGACTAATAGTAAAATCTTGAATTCAATTTAAAAGCTTACTTGAAGCATAGCATCTAAAGCATCAATTATCACATCAAAATGTGGCCGATCAGTATCAGCAGTATTCCAACAATTCAACATTAACGCATAGATTTGATCAGGCAAACCATTTGGAGGCTCCAATCGTCCTCCATTAACAATAAGTGACATTACCTAAAAAACATACTTGATTCACATTTAAATTTCAGAAATTTAGACACATAATTTTCTTTAAGTCAGATTTCCAAAAGTTGGCTTTTTTTCTTTTTTTTAAGAAAAAAAAAATGTTCCTCAGTAATCGCGTACTGGACCATTTTGACAGCAGATCACAATTTTAATATTTTTTGCTTCATTTTTGATCATTTTGATTAGATCATGACCTCTTGATTATTCCTTCCTGGATAAGGCATATATCCAAGTGAGAAAATCTCCCACATTAATACCCCAAACGACCATACATCAGTCTTTACAGTGAAAATACCATCAAGAAAAGCTTCAGGTGGCATCCATTTTACAGGTAGCATTGCTCTACCACCTTTCCGATAATAATCTTGCCTGAATAAAATAGAGAGATTTTATTTGAAAACTTCAATTTTTTCAAAAGTAGTTACGAGTGTGAAAAGAGCAGAAAAAAAATAAATGAAACGTAGTTACTTTTGAAAATTTAGTCACTTTAATTAATTTTTTTGTTGTGAAGAAAACTGTAAAAAGTTTGTACAGTAATATATAAAATATAAATTTTGATGAAAGTATTAAAGTATTAAATTTTATAATAGCAAAAATTTGAAAAGATCTTTTACATCAGTTTTTGATGGCATTATTTAAGGATTTTAAGAGAATTTGAACTGTAAAGGTGTAAAATCTATGCACTTAAATCATAAGGTATATTGTGCGATTTGTGCTGAAAACTGTGTAATTTGAATAGTAATGCCAGCGATAAAATTATAATAAACAAGCAGTAATTAGTTGCATACGTAAAAAACTCTCTAAAAAGTACCTGTAGATATCTCGAGCCATGCCGAAGTCAGCTATTTTTACAATACGTCCTGTATCTTTTTTAGTAAGCAAGCAATTACGAGCAGCGATATCCCGATGGATAAAGCGATTATCAGCTAAAAATTTGCATCCTTTTGCGACATCTCGAGCCATATTTAGCAAATCAACCATTTGGATTCTCTGATCTTTCAGCTTAAATTGAAAAATTTAGAAACTAGTCAAGACAAAATATAAAAGTGTCTTTGAGAAGCACATTTCTTGAATTACTTTTTTATAATGATTATTTTCACTTAAAAAGGCTGAGCAATTACTTTCTAAATAATCGTTGAAATGACTCTTAGCGGTACAAGTTTTATACTAATTATAAAATATTTCCCAATATAATTGACCTAATTAACTAATAATGGAGCAACGGAATCACTCCGTGAAGTTAATATGTTTGGTAAAATTAGAGTCAATTGAAGTATAGCAAAGGTCAAATCATATAGTTCAATGACCAAACAAAAACAAACAGTTTTAGGTCGGCATTCACGCAAAAATGATTTCAGGTCACCACCAGATAATAATTCCAAAATAATAAGTCTTGGTGTTATGTCAAAGCAAACTCCCATAAGTTCACAAATATTTTCATGCCGAAATTTACTGCAAATCAAATTGGCTTCATTGGGCATTGACTACAGTAATTTTTATGCAAATAGTTTTAAAACAGCAAATAATTAGTAAATTTACGCTCTTTTTTAATTAATTGAAAAACAGCTATTAAACTTTATAGAGGTCAAAAGGCCACAAATGGTTTTAGCTCATGGAAATATTGACATCAATTGGTCACTTTGAATACAGAAATTGATTTTCAAGTATTGTATGTTAATCTAACCTCATAATAAGCGCTTCCATCTCAAAATCGTTAAGTGCTTGTTTAGATGCTGATTTCGGGAGAGTTTTGACGGCTACTTGGATTATTTCATTACCGAAATTCAAGCTTCCCTCAAATACTTCACCAAAAGCACCTTGCCCGAGTGGCCTGAAGAAATTTTTCACTCTTGACCACCAAAACTTGTATAATTTTCTGATGAATTTCTTACATTCTTTGAGTAAGCATGAAAAAGTGCTTCTGTTGGTGCGATTTTTAATTTATGTAACTTGTGATATAATTGTCTAAAACAATCTAGTGTAATTTACTCGATATGAAATGACTTGTTCAAAACGTGAAATAATTACAATTTAACTTGAAATATACTTAACTCTGATACCAACCTAATTAAATTGACATGTGCACGAGGGATATGCTGCAATTCAGCGCAAACCCCGAATGATTCATAAATTGGATTTCCAGAAATATTCACTGGTGTAGTAGGCTCTAGCGCGCACAATCCAATTTCGCGGTTTAATACGGCTTTTTCTAGTTTTGTCTTTTCCAGTCTTCTTCGAAAATATATACCTTAAAAATCAAAACTATTTGGTGAAATTTTTAACACAAACTTTTCTTAAACATTTCATTCAAACCTTCAATGTTTTCTAATTTCAGTATTGCTTAAGTTAATTGAGATAGTTTATTACAACTTTTTGATAGATTCTTAACATGTTAACGAATGAATCGAATAAAAATTTTAAACGAGTAAAAATTTTAAAAGTTTTTAATTACTCTAAAATGCTATAAATATGATAATTATTTAGTAAACACCGAAGTAAAATTTAAAAAATTCTTACAAAAAGTTCCAAAAGCGCCAAGCAAAACAATGATGCATAAGACGAACAGAAATAATAATACCACCAAAATAAGTTCATTACGACGTACGTCCGTCAAATTTTGATTTTCTGAAAATCATAAAAAGATGAAAAAATTGTGATTTTAAATGATAATTGAAAAATAACTTGTTAATTTTTTACTCCACTTTTTATACGTTTTCAGTAATGAGTCTTTTATGTACGTACATTCTAAACGTATGTAATTGTCGTAGTTCAAATTTTAGCTTAAATGAGTTCTAATATTGAAGACAAACTTAAATTTGAAGCTTAGATTTTAAATCTGGTAAAGAACTTGTAAACTAAATAGATATGATGTGTTATCTTAGCAGTGTGTGCTATAAAACTAAAATTACAAATCGTTTAAAATTAAAATTTTTTTTTTGAAACTTTCGAGCACAAAATTTATTTATTTGAGTAAGAAAACTAATTTTCTAACCAAAAATACAATCTTCCAATTCGCCTACAGCTCGACCATTTGGACATGCGCAAAACATTGAAATATCATTTATATTGTTAGAGCGGAATCGACAGGTAGCATTTGCGGAACATTGCAACCGGCATGGATAAATAAGCACATAGCCATTGCCAATATTAATACCTGAATTTTAAAGCTCAAAAATTTATTTTATTCTAAAATCTTTGATTAAATTTAAGCTTGAATTCAAAACACTGATAATAAATTATTCTCAAATTTTATTGGTTCAATCAGCTCGACAAGCTTTTTGCTACATTATTAAAGTGGAATGCGTACAGATAGGCAAACCTGGCACAATAATGGCATTTTTGTCAAGTGCAAAACTTTTTCCACCAATTCCATGATATTTTTGTCCACCTTCTCCACCTGAAAACCATTCATTTGTACGATAAAAAAATTCAGTTTTATACGGAAACTGTAGAGATAAGTTCAGGATTTTGGTTGTTTACTTTTAGAGGAACATGTGATTTGATTGTAAACATGATTTTTAAAATTTAGTATACTTTTCAAGATATACCTTCATAACCAGCCCCACCACCACCACCAGGTCCACAAGATGCACCACCACCTCCATATCCACCTGCCACTTTCCAAGCTGACAATGCTGAACAAACACCTCCTGAAGATGAGTTGTTCGTTAGTCGTCCGCTCATATCATTGCAATTCTCGCACTTTTCTTCTTTTTTCTGAAAATAAATATTTTTAACAAGCATCTCATAACCTTTGACCTATTATTCCAAAGTAAATAAAGCAACTTTTGCAAAGTAATTTACCTTTGTTGGAAACAAGGATGCACCATTTCCAGACATCCAAATGACATCTGGCTTTTGGCTTACAAAAGGATAAATGTGCGACAGATTTTGATTTTTGTTTCCTTTTAATGGATTTCCTCCTTTTGGGCTGAAAAGTCTAGTTTTGAGGGAGTATTTTAGTAAAAGTAAATCATTTTGTTAATATGTGATTGAGATGGCTAAAAAACAGAAGGAAAGGAATTTTCTATCAAATTTATTAGAAGGTAATATGGATTGACATTAAATAAAAACCAGTGATATTTACATAAGACAAGAATTTGCAAAAATGAAATTTTTATTAAATTTGTTTAAAATAAAGTAATCACAGTTACAGTTAAAGGTTTTCCTGGTGATCCTAAATAGTTTTATTTTATTTTAAAAAATCGATTTACTATTTTTGAGAACAAAAAGTAAATTTCTGTCAAAAACTAGTTTTAAAAATAATATCAATACAATGAGATAAAAAGCAAAACTTCACTCAATATTTGGTTTTTCGAGTTCAATAACTTGCTCTGGAAATATGCCACCTCCACCACCGGCTACAACCATTATTTTACCGTTATTTTTGATGATTGTTGCTCCACCACCACCAGTACCAGGAAACATTACTCCGTGTGTGCGAGCTGTATCGTCATTCCATAATGTATCACTTTTTTTGCATAAATATTTGAGTGCTTCATACTGATGACTTTTCTAAAATATTTTAATTTGGTTTCTGTAAGAATTTCCAGCATTAAGTTTCGATAAGTATAGTGATGATAATTAGAGGGAGCTAGTGAGAAACAGCTGTATTCAGTAATAGTTATTATGATAAACTGATATCTGATAGAAATATTGATTCTGATAAATTATTATGATATCAGTAATCATCACAACATGGAATGTTATGATTTGAAAAATTTTTGCATGAAAGCTAGCAGTTAAAAAGATATTAAGATTGGTATCATTAGATCTTGCAAAAATTCCAATCATTACCAAATAATTTGGATAAACTTTTAGTTGACTGCAAGGAGTTTCACCCATTTGTCCAACTAAGATGTCTAATTCTGTGGCAATCGTCAAATTTACAATCATAATCACATGACCTCCGTAATTATTGACAGTCTGTCTAGGAATTTGTCCACCAGATGCACCATATACCTCAAATCTATTAAAAAAGTTGAAAATTTGAATTTCAAAACAAGACCGCAAAATATTTTGGTAATGTGATGTGAACGTAGATGATTTGCATTAAATTTGACATATAAAAATACACACCTGTATTCAGCAGTTTTGGGTGCCATCCATTTTTGAAACCCGCTTGAAGTACTATTTTTTAAAATTGCTTTTGTGGTACTGAAAATAGCTTAGACAGCTTTGGATTCTAATTTATTGTTCATTAACTATTTACAAGTTTAATAATTTACTGATACTGAAATCAAATTTTTTGAACAATTTTTCACAATAACCGACACTTTGAATTACTGTACTAATAAATACTATTATAAATACTATTTAATTCATACATTTTCGTTCTTAACTAAGCCAAAAATACTTGCTTGCTTGTATAAAACTGAATTTTGTTCATTTGGTTAGGTTTTCGTCAAAAACTTTACAGTTTTTTTCTAATTTATAAACTATTACCTTGTATTTGCTAGTTAATGTTTGTAAGCTCAGTACTTGTCATTACTAATACTAATGCTGAAGATTGAAAGTATGAATATAAATTGAAAAAATTAATTCAAACATGAAAAAATTATAAATTATGTGAAGATATAAGATTCAAGGTAAAATTAATATTAGCAAATGACCTAAAAAGGACAATTGAAAAAATTCTATAATTAAAAATTGAGTGATAAATTTTAATTTACTACCTTTGATTATAATAGCTTTCACATAAATCCGAAGTTGGCTGGCTTGCTCCATACTGCCCGCAACTAGTTATATTATACACGTAAGGTATAAAGTGTGTACGCCATGAATCTCCTGAATCAAATATATATATCTTCTTACTTGTCATTACTATCTATTTGTGAATAGCAGTGCTTTTGTTTATGCTAACGAAGCCGGAAAAAATTATTATTTTTCGATGAAATTAGTCAGTAACTTTACCAAATAATAATTTTAGTTGCTATAAAAGTTAGTGAAAAAATTTTGCATATTTTACAAAGTTGATTAATAAGAGATTAAAGAAGATAAACCAGTTGTGAAGCAGTCCGGTGACATTGAAAAATCATCAATTGCAAAACTGACTGATGAATCAAATATTTTGCTAACACTTATTTTTAAATAATAATCACTTTTCTGAAAATTTTGATTTTTGAGAAGAAAACTTAAGCGAGTATTTAGTACTTCAAATTTTTCAGCTAATTATAAGTTATAATAGCATAAATACCAAAATTATTTGTTAACATTCTTTACTCAATACAATGATAATAAATCTTATACTCGAAGTCTATTATTACATAGTAATATGCATTTTTACTTTCCGTTCATCCAGTGTGAAAAAAAATTAATTCAAAAATTAAACTCAATTACAAGCAAAATACCAGTACACTATTGATTAGAAGAATTGATTCCTAATAAATCATACCTGCTCAGGTAGATCAATTGAGACTTTTATCCATTCGCAGTGATGGTGTTGATCAGCAAAAGTAATAGATGGAGGGGTCCAAATTATTTTAGCTGGTTGATCACTAGTCGAATGTACAGTTAATTGTAACGTGGAAATAGCGCTTCCATAAGAGCAGTAATAAAATCGAACCTACCAAGTTTACTAATTTTGTAATATTTTTAATTAATAATCAGTAATGCTCTATTTTTCAAAAAATTTCACTTATTTAAATCAATCAATACAATTTTACAAAAGTAATCTATTATTGATTAAAGATGTAATAAATACTTTGCAGGTACTAGCCAAAGGATAAACTGAATTTAGTAATATACTGCTCGTGGGTGGAAAATATGGTGATATTAAATAAGTAGATTTGGTGTCTGTAAAACTATATCGTTCTTGATTATCCTCCGAAGTGAAATATAAAAAATGGCCTGAAAACGTTAACAAAATCACAGAAAAAAATATTTTAAAAATGACTTTGACATTACTAATATATAAAACAAATAATTTTTTTATTCAAATTAATTTTGATTACGTTAAGATTATGTTAACTTGTTATTATATATAATACTTACTGTAAGCAATAAAATGGTAAAATTGCGCATGTTTTAATTTTATTCAGAGTTGCTAATGCATAAACGAATCAAAAAACAAATGTTTAAATCAATTAAAGAGGATTTGAATATGTGATTGAGTAGGATCTGAATATTCATAATTGAAAAAATGATCATTGAGATATGCAAATAAACATAATGTGCAGAAAACTGCCGAAATTTTATGCACATTAAGTTTATTTGCATATTTCAATGATCAGTTCTTAGAAATTCAAGAAATATAATTAAATTCAGTCAAAAATTTAAATATTTTTCAAATATTTTGTGATTCGAATAGATTCATATCATGTTAAATAAATCTTTTTATTTTCAACAATTATTCGTTCTGCAAAATTTAAATTATTAATTTGTTATCATTCTAATGTATAAGAATGTTTTATTGTAAACAGTAATAAAATAATCTACAAGCAATCGTACCACTATCATTCGTATGCAAAAAAGTGTGATCTCTGAGTGGAATATGATTTGAGGAGAACTTTTTGCTTGCGAGAGCAGAATTTACGAGTTGAAAAAGATGCTCATCGTTATCAACCTTCCGGCTATTATGAACATAATAGGTTTCTAGTCGCCATCCTGCGCAACCGCTTTTCGCCTCACTAAGATCTTCAAATGTACAGCGAGCACCGACTGGGACCGAAGCTGCAAATTTAGAAACTTTGAATAAAAATATCTGCATTTGAATGAATTTATTTTAGCAATAGAAAATTATTATTCTTTAGTAATATTTGACAAAATATGAACTGATATTGAAAATCCTATATTTAGCTTAATTAGGAGTGTTCCTAATTAGGAGGTTTCAATTTCAAAGTGTATTTAAGTATAAGAATGAACTAAAATTTGGATTTTTTAAATGCTGTACTGATATTATTACGCGGATTAACCTACTGTTTTTTACATTATTTGCCATTATTATTATGTAATTAATATTTTCTATCTATAAAATAATCTAAAAGACCTCAATGTCTTACCGCAATACGAGAATATGAAAATTATTTTTATGATAATTAAATTATCAAAGTTTAAAAAGTACTGCAATTATGCAAATTTGTTTGCTCATCTTCAGCTCCTGGACAATCTGCACTCATATCACAAATCTGATCATAATCAATGCATTTTCGATGTTCATATTTGTGACACAAATACTTTTTAGTTTTATTAGACTGACAAACATTTTCGTACCAAATCTCTTCTGTAAACAAGCTATTTAATGCAAACTTTTGAATCAAATTGAAAAAGTCATAATTTTTGTAGTGAATAAAAATTTGCGATCAAATATTACATTTAAAAACTTTGAAACATTTAATAAAATATCTTTTAGTAAAAAATAACGGATTTTGCTGAACTTTGAACTTTCACCTTCACATTTAATCATTGAAATATCGTCAATATAGCATTCTGTATTTTCTTTGGATGGTCCATTGGTAGAACTTGCCCTGGAATGACATTCGATCCTGATTCGTGTAGGATGGCTGATCTGACCGATATGAACATTTGCTTCCTTCCATCTATACTTGTCATTAATTACATAAAATCTTTTAAGTTGGAACAATTCTTGATTGATTAAGGAGAACATTTCAAAGACTAATTTTTAAAATATCTATCAAATATTTTAAAAACTTTATGCTTATTTGCTGCTATTAAATAACAGCTGAAATTAACTTTATATTTAAATAATTTGTTGATTAAATATTTATCAATTTAGAATTTAGACTTTTTTTTTGCAAAATTGTGTACAGTAGCCCATGAAATAGCCAATTAATTATCAAATCTATCTTTACTTAATAACTGAAAATGAATTTTTTTTGGTATCAAAAAGTTAATTACAGCTAATCTTTTTACCAATCGTAAATCTTCGTAATAAATTCAGTGCTATCTTATAAGTATGTTTACAAAATGTTTGATGGCTTCTAATAATGGTATGAATGTAAAACTGATTTGACCTACTTTTTAAAGATATATAATACAGGCAATACTTAATTAGAGATTGTTTTTATTCAAAAGTTGTGTAACAGAAATTACCTTTATCAAATATTTTTTGTTATATTTTGTTATTACACAAGTCAACAAAATCACAAAAAACATTTGAAAAACACAAAAAAGGATTTTTTCGGACTGTCTAACTTTTAATGGTAACCAATGATCTATTTTTTAAATAATTACTTTTTTTTGCTAATGATTTTAACAATTAACATAACAAATAATTAATTACTGATAACTTGATAACAGGATTTTTTACTTGATTTTTGACTGACGGTTTAAACAAAATGCTTAGTGAACAAAGCTAATAATCAGAACAAACGTTTCAACATTATTGTTTTGCGCTTTAAACGTGGAATGCAACGTAGGCCTTGTCCATTCCGTCTCATCGTCATAATCATAAGAATCAGCGTATATCGTTGAATCACTTAAAGCTCGATGTTGGCTCGTTACCATCAAAGCTGCGTTTTGATCGCCATACAGACGATATAAAATTCGCAACTCACACTATAACTTCATGCGAATATATTAGTTTCTTCCATTATTTTGTAGTTGAAGAAATAATATGAAAACAAAAAATTTGATTAACTGATAACTTTCATTGTATGTTGAAAAAATAAAAATTTGATAATTTTTTTTGAACAATATTTTTACAGATATCAAATTTATGACTACTTCATAGCGTTCCTGAAGTATTGATGGTTTTTCGATAGAAATGAACTCCAAAAAAAAAGTTTCATTTAAAAATCAAACATTTTATCAACATTTAATCAACTGATAAACTTTCATTGTTGGTTTTTTTCAAAGAATTGAGTAGTTGATATGAAGATCAAGACTTGGTCTTACTTGAGCAGAGAGATGTTGATAATAGGGGCTGATAATCATTGCTGCTTCCTCACGTGTCTTTGTAAAGTTAAAATATGCATAATGAGCTGCAATGTTTTGATGAATTTTATTAGTTAACAAGCACTGATAGGTAAGTCATATTTATAGATCAAGTTAGTATTTAGATTTATAGTAAGTAAAGCTTCTTAGCGCTTTAAATTAAATCACTACAAATGTAAGTTAGAGTCCAAATTGATCAAGTATTTATGATAAAATAACTAAAAATATGTTTAACTTCAAAACTGTAGCTGAAACAATTGAGTATTTGAGATTTGTTAATTATTTAACAATCATTATTGCCCTCACTTGGTTGTGAATTGCGGCTTCCTACAATAATTTTGAAATTATGACGTGGATCACGTGGATTCTTACGAGCTGGACTCTCGAAAATCCAACCACATTTCGTTTCAAAATCACACAGTATACCTATGAGTTATTACTGTTCAATATTTGAAATTTAATTCAAAATCAAACCCTTATGGCCAACATTTTTCTGTGGATGCAAAAATGAGAAGAAAAAAAATACTTCTTTGCTATTTTGCAATTTATTATTATTATTATTATTATTAAAATAATATCATTACTATTGCTATTGTTATTACTAATGGTATTGCTGTTACAAATACTATAATTATTATTTTATCCTTATTAAGGTATGATTTTTAGATTAAATAACTAGTAATAATATTAAGATCATAAATAGCAAGCGAAAAAATCAAAAAAAATCAAAAATAATTAAAATAATATTTTTAGAAGGAAAAGTATTTCCCCTCCTGGTTTCCATTTTTAATTTATTTGAAGTAAGCGTTAATTTTTTCATGTCTAATCCCAAAAGAAAAAATATTAATAGCCATTGCTAACAGAAAAATGTGTAATTATTATTGGGCCTATGCATATATCAGTCAAAGTATCTAATTCTGAAACAAGTAGCTAATAAATTTGCTTTTTAATTGGTTTTCATTCTGTCAGCAATCATTTTATCACTGCTCGATTTTAAACGCTAGAATAATTATCATCGTTTGGCAGCACATTAGAAGATACTTATTTGCTCTTTTTAATGTAATATATGAAGCAGAGATATTTTAGCTTATTAATATATTACGATATATTACAGCCAAAATACCGGAATACGATCCGGGGTCAAAATCAATGAAGCGAAAACAAAAACTACCCTCCACATTTTCTTCATATATATAAAAGCCAAGAAATAAAAACTTTTAATGTCTCGACGAAGATCAAAATCAAATCACTATTTTCTTTTTATTAAATTAAATTCTGCACTATGAATCCGTGTATTATAATTTATTTGAAATTGATATGAACGTCAATTGCATCTGATCACACTTAGGAATCATACTTTTTGGAGCAAAAAACTGAAGTATATAGCAAAATGATATTATTGAAAATAAAATTTTGTGCATTCTTAATCATTTTTATTATAGTTTAATTGTTCAAATCAAAATAATTTTTCCTGAAAGCAAAGACTTAATTAAATGTTCCAAATTCTTACTTGCAAATGCATTATTTATTCCAAAAAAAAGCCATAATTTGATGAAAGTTATTGCAAATATTTCCATTTATGGCTGGTGTAATTGGACGTTAAGCAGTAAAATAATTTAAACAGTTGTATGAAATCAGTATCAGAATATGAATATCATCTCACAGTGTTCCATTTATTTAAAAGTAAAGTTAGTGTGCTGAAGAGTTGCCATAAAATCCTGAAAAATTGACTTTTCGTTTGAAGAAAACATAAAACTATGATTCATAAATAATTGCAAGTCTATTTTCTGGACTGTCATTATTATTGCTATGATAATATTATGGCAACAAAAGTAGTGTAATACTTATCTAATGATAATGTCAATTTTTATTGATAAAATGCTGTTTCTGAAGTTACTTTATATAAAACGATGATTTAATTGATAACAGTGATAACAAAGTTAGTCAAGTGATTTCTTGGTGATAATAATGAGATGCATAAATGTATTCAAAGAAGATTAAAAATATTAATAATCGTTGTCAGCCGTACTGTGAGAAATAGCATAGTTGTTACGACAATGCAAGCAGAATTAAGAACAGTTTAAAAACAGTATTAATGAAAATTTTGTATGAAAATGTTGGCTAAAAAATATGCAAGAAGCAACTATTTTGCATTTCTCGGAAGAGGAAAAATACATATTTGAAAAAAAAAGGAAGTAAACTAAAGATTTAAAAAATAGATTAAGAATTTTTTGATTGCTAACATTAAAACTGATATTAGAATGTGCTAATAGAAAAGCAATTAAGTTATTGTGAACTGATAAGATAAGATATGATTTAAAAGGAGAACCGGGCAAATCTTCTGAGTTTGATAAGATTTTCAAGGAAATCGAGACGATGATGAGATTAAGCTCAATCTGAGTTCAGTAAAATACGAAGCTGATATTATAGTTGAGTATATGGATAGGTAGATGGATGCTTGGATAGATAGATGAATGGAAGGATGGATGGATGAAATGCATTTGGTTTCAACAGCTGACGAAGTTTTATCTCTCGTAAATTTGCTTGGATTAGACGATGACTTTGAAAATTTTGAACAAAATTGTTTCAATAATCAAACGAAATTGTTTCAGTATTTTTCGACTTATTGAATAATTAAGTAATTAAAGTAACTTTAATAATTATTCTTTTTTGCTCTTTTAGTTATTTATCATTTAATTTTGATTTTAATTGACACTAAAAATTATGACTGATTAATTACACGAGCGATTATTAAGGAAATAAGTGTAGATTGACACTGTGGTGTGATAATGATTCGGGATAACTGATTATGATAGCTGTTTTTACTTCAAAATATCTTAATAGCAAAATATTAAGATATTTAATTGTGATCTGATAATATATACAACAATGAAAGAAAGTTATTTTCAAGTTATGGGTAGTTCATACTGTAATAAAAAATTTGCTGCTATCGTATAAAGTAAACTTTCACACAGTAAATTTTGTTTTTCATTAGATGAATGGACTATAACTGTAAAAAATGTTTTAAAAAAAGTGATAACGTAACTTTACCTTAAAGTTTATCATAAAGTTGACCTTTTAAGTAAATAAATCAATAAAATTAGGGTACGTTTTGGATTAAACAAAACCATTATAAATAAAAATGAAATCATTCATTTCAGAGCACTAAAAATTAAATTTCTTGCAGAAGAAGAAATTTTGATGAAAATTTTAGTAAATTTGAAAGTTTAGCACAAAACTGCTAAAAATTTATTGCAACTCTGACACTTTTTGAAATTTTAAATCATTTTGTTTTTTTAAGTATTTTGAAAGGTTACAATTTTTTCAAAAATAATTACTTTCAAAATTTTTAAAGTAATACTTTGCAAACCGAAATAATTGCTAATTTAAAAAATTTTTTTCACAAAAATTTATAAAAATCACCGACAAACAGAAAAAATTGACAATTTTAACTTTCTGCATTACTACTATACTTTATTAATTAAATTTGTGACCGTAATTTACAGTAGTATTAGAGAGTAGTCTAAGTGTACTGCAGTAATTTATACTTTTAACTATTTCAAACAGCCGCTAAGGCGTCTTTGATGGCTATCTTTGAAAATAAATAAATCACTGATAAGTTCGCAAAAAATGCTCAATTTGTTCGATTTTAAGTTCTTTGCTTTGCTTCGATTTAACAATTCCTTTGCTTAACTGCACATTCAATCATTACAGTTATTTATCATTATTAATTTTTGAAATTATCTAAATTTTCTTTTTAAATGAAATATTAAACTTTGCAAAGTGGTTGAATGCTCGACAAAAGTGAAAAATTTTTCAATCGATAAAATTTGCATAATAGTTTTATTAAGTAATAATAGATAGATAACGATAATGATAAATAACTAATGAAAATTAACAATGATGAACATTTGATGATTGACTTCAGATTTTGAAAGATTTCTCTATAAGCAGACTGCACGGAATTTGCTTGGAATCTTTTTTTATCCAATAAATTTAAAATTCAGCCTAAATATTTTGAATTGTAAGCTTCAAATAAAAAAAGTTTTTTTATTTGAAGAAGTTTTCAAGAAATTAACCAGTTTTGGCTGTATGTTCAAAATTGGCTGTGTCAAAAAACTTTAATTTGGGGTTATTAAAATTTTGAGTTGCATAAATATAATAGTATTTTTGTTAGCACTGATAAAATTGACTAGCAAGAAATTCATGAATATAAAAGAATTTATAAATTATTTTAGTTTGATAATACTTACAGAATTTTTCATTCATTTTGCATATTTAAATATTCAACCATAAATTCAGTTTGATAATAATATCAAAAAATTGTATTAATAAAATTTTCAAATTTTAGCAAAAATTTTAGTTTCAATTTTTTCTTTTAAATAAAAAAAAGCAAAAAATGTCTAACTTTCCTTACAAAACAAAAATTGACAGTGTAATAAAATTCAAATTTTTTGTCTAAATTTCTGAAATAGACTAGTTTTTGCATAAAAAACTTTGAGCAAAGTGTAAACAAGTCTGCTTTATTTTTGCTAAGCTTTGCAATTATAAAGTGTAAAAAAAGTGACAAAAGATTTGCAAACAACTTGACGTATAGGTCAGACTTAGCGGAAAGTTTAAAAGTTTTATAGCAATTTTTGAATTTGAGCCAAATTTAACGTTAGCAAACGTGACAGACATTATTCATTGCATATCAAAATTAACACACGAAAATATATTCGCAACAACTGCTACTACTCTATTAGCCAAAATTTGAATAAAATATAGCCATTTAAATAAATTTAGACTGATTAGTAAAGAATTTAAAATCAATTTTTATTTAAACAAAATATTGCACTTAATAATAATTGTTAGTATGGTTAGCTTTTACAAAATATTGTTCTTAGAAGTATTACAAAGATTTTGGTGAATGGATTAGCTTACAAAAAGCTGAGCTTGAAAAATTTTTTTTGTAGCAGGAGGATTCATCACAGAGGAAATTGCATTTTCCATCAGGAAAC